ATTTCCCTGTATAAGTGTCCTTACTTGTAAAACTCTTCCCAAACAAGTCTCGGGGTTTTATGAGGAAAGATAGCAAGAGAGAAAATGCCTGGAGGGAGAAAGAGAAAAATTAATCCAAGTATTATACATGTTTTAAGTAAAAATGATGCTCTCCTTTGGGCCATTGTTAGAGTGTAGTGCGCTCTCTTGTAGACAACACCTTAAGAACGCTGTATGGTGGGCAGCTGTCCAGCAAAGATTGTCACAGTCAATAACCATTTCCAGAAGACACGGGGGAGCAGTATGGGGGCAGTGGACCATTTGAAATACCCTTTAAGAACATAATTACCTGACAAACCAAGCTGCTTCTTGGGTAGAAGGAGGCACAGGCCATCAAGGGGGAGAGTGGGTGGATGTCACCTCACCATTACTCTGTCACTGGAGACCTTGCACACATTTTTATTCCTTCCCACAATTATTCTTTCATTTCTTATAATTATTCATACTCTGCAGTGACACAGAAAAGCAACTTACCTAATATTTCTCTCTATAGGAGAAGGCTAAGCCATTATAAAAAAGATTTCTGGCCTTCATTATACTCCATAGTTCTTCTGAAATACGACAAATATATTCATTTTTCATGATGGGCTTTTGTTTGAAAGTTCTTTATGACTTTTAAGATTTAGTCCATTCGTTCTTATATCCCTGTGCCACCACAACACATCTTCCTCAACCACCTTCTCCAAAAACTTCTAGAAAGACATTGGGAGGTGTCCCAGAGCCATGGACGTGTCTCACCTTCCTCACATAGGAATCCTCCTCACCGTGTTTTGACAAGAGTTATGGAAAGTCTGTTGGAATTTTTCTGGTTATAGAGAACGCCACATCTTTCAAGATAGCTCATTTTATTTCTGTGCACCTCTTCTGGCAGGAAAGCTAGTCTTTACGTCATGCTGATAGCTACCTGTTTGTTTTTCCTCTTGTCTTTACGTTCTGACTCCACAATTTATCTTTTAAAGCCATCGTCATCAGCACACAGCAGTTCCCTCACTGGAGATAACAGTAAGAGCCCCACCCTTCATTTTCTCTTAGCCATAGTATATTCTCAGCTGTTCTCTGCTCTTAACGTACCACAGTTTTCGGGTTTTTACTAACAAGCTATTCCATCTTTCAAGTAATCTTTTTCAGGATTCCAGAATTATTTTTACTTCCCATGCAAACTTTTTCCAGTTTATTCCGAAATATTTTAGCAAACGTGCTATATGTCTTATCTCTTTTATTGTAAACACATCCACACAGAGAAAAGATATATCCTTAAGTCTGCTTCTCAGCCTTAATCTCTTAAGTAGCAATAAAATATTTCTCCTCCATCCTTCGGATTTCGACTCAGCTTACATGGTTTCCCCTACTTGCTTTCTGATGTATCTTATCCCTAGAGCTAAAAGTTTAGAAAATATTTAATACTCAAATGAGTAATCTCCATTGCACACTCAAAGCCCAGGAGAGAGCTTGTGACAGAGACCACAATGGAGCCAGGCTGGAGAGGTCATCATAGCCCGGTGTAAAGTCTGCTGGTGGCTTTGCAAATGATGATCGATCACGTTTCTTCATAACTACTACTACCTGAAACTTAAAAAACAACCTGCTGTGATCTCTTACTATCTTTTTTATTTTGAGTGGAAAAAAAAATCTGCAAAGGAAATATAGTGGAAATAGAATTGAAGGAACCAGAATAAAAATGGGTCTGTTGCAACTAGGCAATGCTGAGGAAAGTGTTTGCAAAGAGGATGTGTAGATATGAAGAGACTTCAATATGGGATGAGAGGGGCAGGGAGACATTGTTTCTTTTTAAAAAAAAATTTATTTAATTGTGGTAAAAATACTTCACATGAGATCTACCCTCTTAATACATTTTTAAAATTTATTTATTTAACTTTAGGTGCATACTACATCTGGCATTTCTCCCCGTGTTATCCCTCCCCAGCCCCTGCTGTCTCTCCCCTACTCCCCCAACTGTCCCCAGTGTGTGTTGCTCCTCTCCCTGAGTCCATGTGTTCTGATTGTTCAACACCCGCCTATGACTGAGAACATGCGGTGTTTGGCTTTCTGTTCCTGTGTCAGTTTGCCAAGAATGATGGTTTCCAGATTCATACAAGTTCCTACAAAGGACATGAACTTATCATTTTTTATGGCTGCATAGTATTCCATGGTGTGTATGTACATTTTCTTTGTCCAGTCTATCATTGATGGGCATTTGGGTTGGTTCCAGGTCTTTGCTATTGTACAGAAGGCTGCAATGAACATACATGTGCATGTGTCTTTATAGTAGAATGATTTATAGTTCTTTGGGTATATGCCCAGTAATGGGATTGCTGGGGCTAATAACCAGAATCTACAAAGAACTAAAACAGATACACAAGAAAACAACAGTCCCATTCAAAAGTGGACAAAGGATATGAACAGACACTTTTCAAAAGACATATATGAGGTCAACAAACATATGAAAAAATGCTCATCATCACTGGTCATTAGAGAAATGCAAATCAAAACTACATTGAGATGCCATCTCACACCAGTTAGAATGGTGATCATTCAAAAATCTGAAGACAACAGTTGCTGGAGAGGATGTGGAGAAATAGGAACACTTTTACACTGTTGGTGGGAATGTAAATTAGTTCAACCATTGTGCAAGACAGTGTGGCGATTCCTCAAGGATCTAGAAAGAGACATTGTTTCTTAAGAGTTTATGACTGCAAGATGCGATTCCCTATTTAGAACCCATTTTAACTTGAATAACTGTGTAAAGGCAACCGGTGGGGGAGCAGTGGGAATGGGGACCACAGTTTGGCCAATGAAAACATGAGCTACTTTCTGGAATTACATAAGGGCATTCCTTAAAGAAAAACAGATAACTCTAGACTTTAGAATCCCAGAAGTGTGCGGAATGCAGGCTGTTCATAATGGAATGTTGTGGTTTGAACTGCAGGTAGAAGCCTATGCTCCTTCCTCTAGTACCTGAGGAAAATCGTGAAACCCAGGAATCAGAGTATACATGGCTCATTCTTATATTACAGCTTAGTTTACATAATAAATGTCATGTCACGTTACATATCATGTCATATTACACAATGTCAATGTCTATGGCATTTTGAAAAATGTTTTCAACTTCCCCACAGTTTGGTTAAGAAATCATTTCCTTTTCTCTTCTGAAGCTAGTGCTTCCAGCCTCTTCCTGCCAGCACCACCTCCACCTTTACCTGTCCCTTGAGGCGCACACCCACAGCCCACTTCCATCTCCCAGTTGGCATAAGAATTCTTAGAAGTTTCTTCAGCTATCGTAACACTTTCCTCTAATGCAATTTTTCAAGGTACACGGTTATGTGAAGACCCATTCAAAAGGCCTATAAGAATTCTAATTACTTGTATGTTTTACTAACAAGTTACATGGTGATTGTGAGCCATTGATGATTGGGAAAGAAAAATTACTTTTGGCCGTTTAAAAGTGTATCTCACGTTGACATTTATCTCATTTTACCTCTACTGAGGCACTTTGATCACAGAATAAAGTTTCACTTTGATCGACCTAATAAAAAGTTATGAAGACAAATATACAATCATCCTTATACCAAATGGATATTGACCCCGGGCATGGAGGTCCATGCTGATTTTAGGTCCATCTGCAAACTCCCTTGTGATTTCATAAGTGCTTTAAAAGTAGTTTTCAGATTAAATATAGAATAACTATTAGGAACACAGTCTTTGAGGTCCTACAGACATGAGTTTGAAGTCTGGAATTTCCACTTCCATTACTTAATATTATTATTACTTAATATTATTCCTGTTCAAAATGTGACTGGTAGTTATGTCAAAAGTGCATGCTGAGAATTGCATGGGAAAAACGTTTATAACTTAGAAAAGAGTATAAAGTTGATAAATACTAGCTATTATTCTTGTTATTATTAAGTATTTATACTCTCTTAGGCCAGCTTTAACTGCAGAGCCTCCATTTTTCTAGGTAACATATAACTGGCAAAATGTTGCTTGGATAGTATTAACCCTAGAAATAGACAAATAGAAGCCATTTGTGCCAAGAACCTGGAGGGTAACTGAATTTCAGTGAGCTATGCTGCAGATGGGTACATCTGCCATTGTTTTATTTTAAGTTAAGATCGGCTTATTCCCTTGGATCAGAAAAAGGCAATTTTTTCAAGGTTTGTTTTCCCAAACAGCCACCCGAACAAAGAGATGAATGAAGTCCAATCCCTTCCCATTAGATGGAGTTATATAAATACACAGCAAACGTGGATGCGGCTCGCCCAGCATCCAGAAGGTTGAAGCTGTGGCTCTGATGAGGTCTCCCTCCTGCTCCTAACCACACCACAGCATATGATGTCTGATCTATACCGAGTATTTCCGGGCTTTCAGACAGTGAGATTCCTAATGCACTTGGTGTGTGAGTCATGCATGTCAACGTCCATTTCTGCCTGTTGTGTGCCTCGGAAAGTCCAAGACCCAGCCCGCAGTTGGCCAAGGCCTGCCGGGCCGCCTTTGTAAAGTGCTTCGCGCCATCTAGCGTCCAACGGAGGCATAGACGTGGGGCTCCGCGCGGCGGGCACCTGCTCTCCGGCCACAGTGCGGCCGAGAACCACCGCACAGAGCCTCAGGGCCGGTCATTCATTGTGCTTTGGACGTCAGTGGGTTCTGAAAACGTAACCTCCTGCTTAAATGCACTGTTTTTCAGATGAGCCACATACACGTAAAGGCCAGACGACCTTTTCTATCCTATTAGGGACGCAATCAGATGCTGTTTTGCTTTTGCTGAGAAGACTTTGGTTGCTATGTTTTTATCGCCTGCAGCTGCCCTTGTGTGGTTCGCTTTCTCGCAATGAGTCTTTCTTAGGATCCGCTGGAAACCACAGCACGTGTGCATGCCTCCCCGTGCCTGTGTCCTCCATCAGCCTAACTGCTGTCACGCCTCTATATTTTTCATTCTTCTCTTTTTTTTTCTTTTTCTTTTTCAGATTGTCTACAAAGCCTGGCTCTGTTCCCAGTACTTTGAAGTCACACAGTTTAACTGCAGAAAGACGATTCCTTGCAAGCAATACTGTTTGGAGGTTCAGACGAGGTGTCCGTTTATATTGCCCGACAATGACGAAGTCATCTACGGAGGCCTCTCCAGTTTCATCTGCACAGGTACAGTGCCGGCTGGGAGTCCATACACGGCCTCCGGTGGTTTTGCTTTCTTGGGTGATGCTTGTTTGCTCTGCTGTTTCCTTCCACGGATATAACCTTGAAGAGGCGACTGGTAGTTTTCTGCACTTTCACTAATGGAAGCACCGAAAGCTCCCCTCCACTGGTCTGGAAATGATTCACTTGCTGTGCCACGTGGTCTAGCTATAACTGAGACCACAGTTATTAACTGTGCAAAAATGATGGCAAAATATTAGCAATCATTAGATATGCTTCCATGTGACCTAGCATAGGTGACATTCTGCCTGCATTCCCTTTGAATTACATAAGAACAGAAGACATGATAAGGCCTGTGAAATCATGCTTTTCAAATTAGCAAGAAGTTTATGTCTCCTTGCCTATCTTCTTTTTTTTATTTTCTGAGAATTTTTATGTTATTTTATCTGTAGAAACTATTAAGAGCATTAAAAATATCTGTGTGTGTGTGTGTGTGTGTGTGTGTGTGTGTTTGTGTGTGTGTGTCCATTGGAGCCACACAAGTCTATCCATTAAACAGTGTCTACTTCTTTCAGCAAATGAGTCAGATTGGGCAAAACACAAATATCAGCACTCCTTTTCTAGATATTTATAAGCATTACATAATTTAAACAGAGTAAGATATAAAGAATAAGACTTTAAAAAAAAAAAAGATAATTAGACGGCAAGAACAAGATACTCTGCCAGGGTGTTGTGACAATCAGAGTTAGGGCTCTGCATTCTCTTTTTGTAGAGACAGTGCTATACGAAGTCCCTGTAACTATGTGGCTTGAGTTGTAGCATGTTTCATTTTCAAGTTTAAGGATAAACACTGTCACATGGGCAGAGAAACATGAAAATTCTCTTCTTACGTTAGACTTACCAACTCCTCTAGAGCAGACTGACATATTAAGATGCTCAACATGAGAATGTATCAAATTATTTTTACATCACGTATTTACATACCTATTCATTAGCCATAGTGTTCTAAGTGATAAGCTATCAGGAGATAGTCCACCAAAGCTCCCACTAAGTACTGGATGAGTATTTCCTTTTTCTTTTTCTTCTCCTTCTTTTGAGACAGAGTCTCGCTCTGTCACCCAGGCTGGAGTGCTGTGGTGTGGTCTTGGCTCACTTTAAAATCCACCTCCTGGGTTCAAGTGATTCTCGTGCCTCAGCCTCCCAAGTAGCTGGGATTACAGGTTTGTGTCACCACACTGGGCTAATTTTTGTATTTTTAATTTTGTATCTTTTTGTATTTGGGTTTCACCATGTTGGCCAGGCTGGTCTCCAACTCCTGACCTCAAGTGATCCGCCCACCCGCCTTGGCCTCCCAAAAGTCTTGGAATTACAGGCGTGTGCCACCATGCCCGGCCTGGATTAGTATTTCTTATGCTGCCCAAGCTTGTGGGAAGAATGCGTGACTGAAGGTCAGGAGCCTCAGCCTTCCTTCTGTTTCTTTTGTGCATTCTCTCGGAGACACCACCCCTTCACTATTAAATTAGAAAGTGCAATGGCCAACCCCACCCCATGTGGATTTGCTGCAAGGATTACAGATAAGAGAGAAGAGCAAGTTATGTCACTAACCAGCCACAGCTGTTTTACCCAGGAAAGTGACGTGTACGGTAATTTCACAGTCCTGTGTGTTATCCTGCTGATTTCATGCTTAAGTCATTTTTTTATGTAGCTCCTCTTTGCTGGAGGTGGGGAGGGAGAAGAAGAGGGAAGGAAGGAGGGAAGGGGGAAATCAGTATCTTCTTGCTTTGAGTTTGAGACAAAATTCACCAGACACAGGCTATTAATTCATATTGAATTTCACATAGAACATTCCACAAATAACTATCAAGATAAGGCCTTCATTTTTTTTATTGAGGGACAATGAGGTGCTGTGACATTAGGACTTCGGAGAAGCTATTAGGTTTTTATGTTCAGGTTGTATTTATGCATTTACACTCACATTGGCTTTTGTCTTAGAGAAGAACAATAGTTTTCAAACCAAGTTCTCAAAGTAGACAGAAAACCCAAATGAAGGACGAGGTGTTTGCATGTTATCTTTTTTAAAAATGTATCTGTATTTGTGAATCTGAAATGTATGTTTGAATGCTCACCCCCTTCCTCCATACGCATTCAAAATGCTGGGGTAGAATTAAATCTCTCACTTCACATGGACAGAGAATGCAATTTGCATTTTTAATTGTTTTTGAGTTTGATAAAAACAGCTTTTTCATAGCCATAGCTATATCATTAAGGAAAAGTGACAGGAAAAGAGAGATTTTTCATCAGATCCAGTGAAAAATGCCATCTCTGTGAGAGGCTCCTAGGATAATCTCATTACTGAACATTTGAAAACCTCACTGTTCTTATGTCACTTTCAATTGGATTAATGGTCATTTTATTTTTAAATTGCTCAAAAATACAGAATAAATTCCGAAGTCATTTTACCTTGAAGTTCTGCAAAGAACAACCTGATAAAAAAGATAATAATTTCAGATTGATCTTCTTTTCTAAAGTGTGACCCATGCCTCTTTGAAGAATTCTCATCTGTGTTCATAACTAGCAGCCATCATTTCCCATCAATGGTTACCTGTGTCCCTTAAGGAGTATACTGATGAGGCCAGATGCAGTGGCTCATGCCTGTAATCCCTATAATTTGGGGAGGCTGAGATGGGAGGATTGCTTGAAGCCAGGAGTTTGAGGTCAGTCTGGACAACATAGCAAGACCCTGCCTCTACATAAAATTAAAAATAAAAAAAGTAGCCAGACACAGCTGTGTGCACCTGTAGTCCCAGCTACTTGGAAGGCAGGATTGCTTGAGCTCAGGTGCTGGTGGTTTCGGTGAGCTGTAATCCTGCCACTGCATTCCAGCCTGGGCAACATAGTGAGATCCTATCTCAAAAGAAAGAAAAAAATGAAAGAGTGCACTGCTGAACCTGAGCAAGGAGATTTCTACTCCTGTCCATCACAGCCGCCTGTCCACTGCTCATAAGAGTCCCAGATACGGCCCCCAGAACGGCTTTCATCTTGGATGATGTTAGAATAGAGGACAGCTCCCAGAGGGCCACTGGCTAAGCTGTGGAGTGGCTTGTCATGCTTCTAAGGAAACTAGTGAGACATGCACATCTAATTTGTTCCCAGATTTTAAGTTGCACATTTTTGGATGCCCATCTCCTACAAATGTACATGAATTTTTAAATAGTTTACATTATAAATAAGTTTGGAAGTAAATGTGAGCCGTCTCAGGTACCTTTATGCACTTTGCATAAAATGTCTTCTGTACTCAGGAAGGACCAGACTAAATGCAGAAGAGAAATGGAACCACTTTCCTAGTGTCCCAGTTGGCTGCTGATAACCGAAGGCCACTTGGGTGGCCTTAGGTTGGATGGCGAGCTCACAGCAACTTCACATGTTCACAGCAGTTCTGCTGGATGTCTCCTAACTGAGCTGGGTACAGTGAGGATCACTAAACACAGTGACATCAAAAAGAATTCACCGACTTGACCTCAATCTTACCTCCAGCAATTTTTCTTTTTTGAAAAAAATCATCAAGTATTTGATTTCCACTCTAGATGTTAAAAATGCAATTATTTCTCAGTAAGAATTAAAGGAATAGGTGGAGATTCCTTCCAATTCAACAAATTTAATTATAGTAGTTTTCCTGCGGTTTGAAATGCATCCAATTCACAGCTTCCAGAAGGATGGAGAATTCCCTCTAGGATATTGAGGATTCTTCCCTTACTTTTCTTACGTACCTTAAAAAAAGTATTCTGTGATCATATAACTGCATATGGCCTGATGACAGACACTGTCCACGCAAGCATCAGTTTTCTTCAAGGTGCTTCTACTTAGTGGCAAAGCAGTGGCACATGATTCATTTTCTTCAAGTCCATTGTACCCAGCATCTTAGAGAACCTCAAGTTCTTCCTCTCATTGTTTTATTGGCTATATACTAATCCTAGGATTCTTATTATTCACAAAAAAGGAATATCAGCCCTTGGAATCAATGAAAAATTTCTGTAAATGATCAGGAGTTATTTACCATTTTGGTCACACTTATTAAATTTAGTATCTTTTGCATCATTTCTTTATGGCATCCACATTATCATTTTCCAAATATGGAAGTTTTAAATGTATATATTTTTTTCATCATCTGCTACTTTGTGTACCTGTGATCCTTTACTAAGCCAGGAACTTACTTTAAAAAATGAATTATCTGAGAATGCACGTCCATCACTATAGAATGCTCTGATTGAGGATGTTACAGAAGGTCACGACCAAATGTTCTAACCATGGATCTTGATGACAAGGGCATCCCCACAAATATGTTTAATTCCAATCCTGTCTTAGGAGATAAAAGGAAAGACACTTTGCCAGAGATCGCTCTTGATTTTTTTTTTCTGTTAAAGTATAAAACTGACACGTGACTAAAGAAATGTTTTAAAAATTAATTGGAAAGAAATCTTGAAGTGCTGTCAGGGTGAAACATGTCATTTAATGTTAGGCAGTATTGAACTAAAATTTGTCAAGGTGGGTTCTGTTGGGTTTGCAAGCTCAGTTCGCATAATGCGCTGCTATTTTAGAAACCCCGTTGTTTCATCTTTAAAGCGAGGGGGTGGAAGTCGTTTTCGGATTCTACGATGTCAACCCGTCATCGTGGTAATTACGTGGGCTTCCCTCTCCACACTCCCTCGCCTCATTCCAGAGTCCCCTGGAGAAATCCTTGATTGCTTACCTGTAACAGCGAACCAAGCTGAGGAAAACAGAGGCAGCAGAGGCGCGCAGGCTGCGGGTGCTATGGTAACAAACATGAAGAACGTTACCATTTGATTGATAGATGAAATAGACCAGCCACGATCTGCTGCTCTCTGACAAAGGGAAATTACTGAAGGCATCAAAGTAAAAGTTGGTCTGCGGGGGGGTTACTGACAATGGAGATAAAACATGTTTTAAGAATTCTGTGTCAATTCTGCATTCCATTTTTTTTTTTTTTT